CTCGGAGGTCCCAGGCTCGTCATCGTCATCGTCATCACCATCACCACATCATCATCGTCATCATCAACAACAACACCTTCATCATCATCATCATCATCATCATCATCATCATCATCATCATCGTCATCATCATCATCATCATCATCATCATCATCATCATCATCATCATCATCATCATCATCATCATTATCAGCATCTGCATCAGCATCATCATCATCAGAATCATCATCATCAGCAGCGGCAGCAACATCATCCTCATCCTCCTCCTCAGCGTCATCATCACCAAAGTCAGCCTCATCATCATCGACACCACCATCCTCATCGTGATAGCCATCATCATCATCATCATTGTCACCACCAACATCACCATCATCATCATCATCATCATCATCATCATCATCATCATTATCAGCATCTGCATCAGCATCAGCATCATCATCATCATAATCATCAGCAGCAGCAGCCACATCATCCTCATCCTCCTCCTCAGCGTCATCATCACCAAAGTCAGCCTCATCATCATCCACACCACCATCCTCATCGTGGTAGCCAGCATCACCATCGTCATCGTCACCACCATCATCACCATCATCATCACAAACATCATTATCTTTATCTTTTTAATCATCATCATTACCATCATCATCATCACCATCATCATCATCATCATGATGATGATGATGATCATCATCATCATCATCATCATCATCATCATCATCATCATCATCGTCATCATCATCATGGCGATAATCCTCGTCATAATCCGCCTCCTTAGCCTCAGCCTCATCCTCTTTACGTCCTTCCCTACTCATCCTCATCCTCCTCCTATCCCGCTCCTCATGCATCCTGCTCCTCCTCATTCCTCACACCTCTTCCATCTTCACTTCCTGTTCCTCCCTTTCCCCCCCCATGCCCTTCTTTTTCCTCCCCCTGCCCCTCATCCCTGCTCCTCTTCCTCCGTCGTCCTCCTCCGTCCTCCTCCTCCTCCCCCTCTCCCTCCTCCTCCTCCTCCTCCTCCTCCTCCTGATCCGCATCCTCCGAAATCCACAGCCGGTTGGCATTGCACCGATCGTCCTCCCGAGGGGGCCAGGTTAAGCCCTGGACTACTTTCCCGCCCCCCCCCCCTTCCACACCCATGCAAAATTGGTGGTGATCTCCCTGGGGGTTGGCGTCCATCATTCCTGTCGCTTCCTTAACATGTGAGGTTTATACGTATATCCTCTCAGGCACCTGGAATCTCCTCCAGATCCAGACTCGGTGGCTCGTGGTCTGCCGCACCGTCTCCACACTGAAATCCCGCTTGGTCTCCCGTATGGTCTCCCGTACGGTCTCCCGTGCGGTCTCCCGTATGGTTTCCCATGTTGTCTCCCGACTGGTACTCCGTATTGTAACCTGGATCGTCTCCCGTATGGTGTCCCGTCTGAAATCCCGTAGGGTACAGCGTAAGGCCATCCACATGTCATCCAGTGCTCTCTTTTCCATGCAGTTGTGCTGTTCAGCGCATTCTGACGCCAGGGTGTAAATTCCTCCTCGTCCCCTCTCCCCCATCATCATCGCCAGCGTCATCGTGGCCACCGTCATTCTCATCACCATCATCTTCGTCACCATCACCATCGTCGCCGTCGACGTCGTGTCGCCCGTCTCCACTGCCATCGCCATCGGCATCAGCGCCATCACCTCTGTGATCGCCATCGTTGTTGGCGTCGCGCGCGTCACAATCACCATCAGACGTGCACGATTTAGAGGGCGGGCTCGTCTGCGCGGCTGAGCTCCGCGAGCTCGTGCGCTTGTTGAGACCATGGCCATTTGAGATTTGCCAACAACTCGGGGTTGGAGAGTGGGATGCTAGAAACCAGCATGGGAGGTGATCGCGTGCGGGTGTTGCGCGGTGGGAAAGTTCTCTTGTCGAAAAAAGAATAGACTAGACCACCCAGCCGCACACGGGATCAAATATCTCTGCCTGGTACTGCAATGTGCAATCGAACCATTCCAGCCCAGCCGGTACCGATAACCCCCGCCATCCCTGTCAAATAAAACAATGCGCGCACACATGTTTAGATCGGGAGATCACATTTCAATACCCCTTGCAACAAAAACGCCACAACGCCAACCCGCGCACGCACATGCCGAAACCCTACTAGGCACATTCGCCGTGCAAACCTTAGAACACAAAGACAATACGAACAGCTTGTTTCCCTTCAAAAGCCAGATAACAAAGACATGTCAATTTCTCAATCTCGTCCAGATGCCACATTCGAATCTCGCCACGCGGCACATCCGCGTTGATCTGGCATGCGCCCAATGCCCGAGTCCGTATCAAGTAATGCCGCGCGGACCACACTCGCGTGCCGCCACGCGAACACCGAAATCCATCCCAAACCATTGGCGAGTTCAAGACCAGACTCTTCAAGATCACATGACAAAGCAAGAGTCTGCCCACAACAATCTGCAAAATGTCTTGGACTTCATCGCGCGCGTTTCCTCATCATCTGGATCAGCGCCAACGCATCCTCGCCGTTACCGGCATCGTCGATTGCCGCAATTGCCGCCGTCATCAGATCAGAACAATCACCTTCTTCACTGACACGTGGGCGCTATGCCTTGTCATCGTCATCACCAGCATCGGCGCAGCCATTGGCCTTGCCGTCGTCCTCGCCACCATCGCCGTCATCATCTTTGACACCGTTGTTGACGGCATTGTTCTATCACTCCCAGTCGAGTCACCGACCCGCACTGAAGTGCCCGCGCACCGCACCAGCCCAGCCCTGAAGACTCGCTGGAAAATCCCATCCGTAAACACGATCGCGGGTGCAGCAGTTATACTAAACCAAATGGTCACCTTGCAAGCGAACGTGCCAACGCGAGCTCGTTCCGCAGAGGCGCGCTAGCAAGTGCCAATCAATAACGGAATCGTTGGCGCATGGGCGTCGCCGAACAAGTTGCGGGTAGAAGGTGGGATGTGTGCGAGAGAATTGCACCATGCAACGTCAAATTCTGCATTATCAATTCCCTCTTCCAAAGAAAGATAGACTCGAGCACACACACACACACACGACCTCACATTACCGGACTTGTCGGTACCTCAATGGATACTAGAAAATGCACTCGGCGATTATGCCATATGAAACAATACTATCCCAGCCACGCATGCCAAATCAAGCCATGTGCGCACCTTTGTTCACCTCATAGTACATGTCTCAAAAGACATCTGCGCGCACATGGCGAAACCATACCGAAAGCATGTTTCCCCAGCTTTTAACACGCAACCCTTGTGCACATACACATGTGTCGCCCATGGAAATCGTGCTATGTGTCTGCCCGCGCGCGCTTCGTGACACCATCTGAACGCCATATCATGTCAACACTTTCTTCCAGGAACCCGCACTATCATATCACCGCGCGGCGCATCCACGTTGATCTATCATGCGCCCAATGCCCAAATGCGTATCAAATAATCCCATGCGGACCACACCCGCGCGGCGCCACGCGGTGTCCGAATCCCTCTCAAAAACCATTGACTCTCGAAACGTTTCAACAAATAAATGTTCAAGAACACGTAACAAACGAAAAGCCTGTCCGCAACACTTCCGCGCGACTTGGGGGATTCCAGCGCGCGCGCTCCCGCATCACCCGAACCAACGCCATCGCATCATCGCCGTTATCGTCATCGTCACTCGCCGCAGCTGCGGCCGCCATTAACACAAACACAACACCAATACATGGACATGAAGTTTGCCCATGTCGCCACCAGCATCGGCGCAGTCGTTGGCCTTGCCGTCGTCGCTTCCACCATCGCATTCATCATCGTCGCCGCCAGTGTTGGCGTCCTCCTGATACCATGCCCACCCGATTGACCGACCCGCACTGAAGTGCTGGCGCGCCAACCTGGCCTGAGAGACGCGCAAGCAAATTTCCATCAATAAGTACCATCGTGGTCACAACTGCTGTGCGTAATTAGACGGTCGCCTTGCGCGCGAAGATGCCTGCGCCAACGCGATCCGCAAACACGCGCCAGCAAGTGCCAAGGAGTCCCGTAATCGTTGGCGCATAGTAGGTTTTGCCGAACAAGTTGCGGGTGGGAGGGTGGAGCGGGCGCGCGAACAGACGGCTTCAATGTCTCCCACGTAAAATGGAAGACCAAACGCATCACCAACCCGAAGCCGGACTCATCCGCAACCCTGTGGGCGAGTACAGCGTACACCCGATTCTGCCCCATCGAAATCTTCCATCCAAGATCATGCCATCCCAGGGCATCTAGGTGGTGCCCCCTTTCTCATCCCTGTCGAACAAAACCAAGCACGCTTATTCGTTTATTCCCTACCATCATTTTCCCAATTTTTCCATCGGGGAGGACAAGGAAACGCAACTGACCCCCGACGGCATAAAACGCGAACGGACCACCCACGCGCGCGCCCTTGAGCGAACCACCGCGGAATGCGGGAAAACCCTCGGAACCGCTCCGAGGTCCTGGCGAAAGGCGAAAATAGCTGTGGTAAGTGGCGCGAGCACGAATATCCCCGAAGAAATTAAGCAGGGGCGAGGAGAAGGAGGGGAGGACAGGGAAGAGGAAGAGGACAATGACAAAGAAACACACACTGCCAGAACCTGAGAACCAGCGCCCAGAGGGCGGCGCACAAGCCAAGTGCAGACCCGAACCAGGGCCGCGAAGGACCACGAGACCAGTGGAATACGGGCAGAGCCTAACGAGCGCTCGAGAAGCACTTCGAAACATACGACAAGGATGTCGAAAGTGGCGGGCAGGGGCAGAGAGGAGGACAATGCGGGAAGGCGAGAGGGAGGCGGAGAGAGACGGCGTCCATCGGCGGGCCGCCTCGGCCGCAGCGGCCGGGCACGGCGCGATCGATGCAAAGCTCACTCGCACGGGGCACGCCGTGGCCAACCGCGCGGCCAGCGTCACCGACGCCCTTCAAAGGGGGGGGAGGGGAGGAGCGGGGAGGGGAGGAAGGAGGAGAGGGAGAGAGGGGAGCGGCAGCCCCGAC